AGTATTTTCCCAAAAGTCTTGGGGATCGTCAAGATGTTTTCTGGCAAAACTGAGATGAGCCTTTATGTTCTTTTTGCTCAGTAGCGGTTTTCGTCTTGGAACTCTGCCATGCAGTCCATTTTTGCCCAGTCTCTTTCTTATGGTGGAGTCATGAACACTGACCTTATCTGAGGCAAGTGAGGCCTGCAGTTCTTTGGATGTTGTTGTGGGGTCTTTTGTGACCTCTTGGATGAGTCGTCGCTGTGCTCTTGGGGTAATTTTGGTCGGCCGGCCACTCCTGGGAAGGTTCTCCACTGTTCCATGTTTTTTCCATTTGTGAATAATGGCTCTCACTGTGGTTCGCTGGAGTCCCAACGCTTTAGAAATGGCTTTATAACCTTTTCCAGACTGATAGATTTCAATTACTTTCTTTCTCATTTGTTTCTGAATTTCTTTGGATCTCGGCATGATGTCTAGCTTTTGAGGATCTTTTGGTCTACTTCACTTTGACAGGCAGGTCCTAGTTAAGAGATTTCTTGATTGCGAACAGGTGTGGCAGTAATCAGGCCTGGGTGTGGCTAGAGAAATTGAACTCAGGTGTGATAAACCACAGTTTTAAACGGGGGCAAACACTTCTTCACACAGGGCCATGTAGTTTTGGATTTTGTTTTCCCTTAATAATAAAAACCTTAATTTAAAAACTGCATGTTGTGTTTACTTGTGTTATCTTTGACTAATATTTAAATTTGTTTGATGATCTGAAACATTAAAGTGTGACAAACATGCAAAAAAATAAGAAATCAGGAAGGGGGCCAACCCTTTTTCACACCACTGTATATGCATGCGTGTGTGTTTTCACAATGAACAACTGTGCCGGCTTTAACCATTTAGAGCCAGCTGCAGAAGATAAAATAACTTCATACAGCTAATGATTTTCTTGCAACTGGACACTGACCCTGTAGACCTTATTCAGGTGTAAACAGCTGTGACTTTCAGACTTTACAATGGCATACACGGTGTAAAACCACGTAATTTTCACATATTTTTTGTCTACTTAAATTATTTTTTTCGTCAGCTTGATAATTGGCATGTTGTTACACAACAGAACAATCCATTGAACGCATTGTACTTCTATCCCTCACAGACTCGTTTTCATTCCTGTCAAAAATGAAATATCACTACCCTGACTAAGATTTTTGCCACGCTGATAAACTTGTGGTCTCCAAACTGACTTATTATCAGAGTCTTGCTTCTGCAAACACTGTTGACATCCAGTGATCAATGCTTATGTTTCTATTTAAAGCCTGTACTGTCTGTTTTGTGATTTCAGGTTGAGTCATGTCTCCTGGCTAGAGCTTTTCAAACCCATTAACTGATGCTGCTATGGACAGAGGAGCCAAACAGTGCATTAGCAACAGCCAGTGCGGCAGTGCCCTTTGTAAAGGCCAATTAATTCACCTGAAAAGCTCCGATTTTATCTGACGTGGAGCATTAGATATGGAGCTAATTTAATTTTAAATGACTCTTGTGCAAAAGACGGGAATGTGCTGCCTGGCTTTGAGAAAGCCTCTGAATTTGTGTATATTGATTAATGATTCAGTCTTTGGTTAGCAAATGTGAACATTATTTTGTGAAAATAATGGTTGTTGTTTTCTGATTATAATTTATAAGTGATTAAAGTGATTGTAAATTAAATACTCTAATTATTACAATATGACCTGCATATGTGACCAGACTGTGCGTGCAGTATGGCGCAATTGCTAGCAATGATTGTTTGCTTGTCTGGCAAAATATAAATAATTGTGACAATTTTAGAAATCGCCACTTTCAAAAGTCGGTCCACATTGCACATTCGGGTCATTTTCCGTCCGGTCCGATGAATCGTTCACTGTTCGAGTGGGCGTGGCCTCGAAGCACAGCGGATGGCGAGAGCCAATCAGAGACAGAAGAAATCAGCCAAGGCCATCGTCAGATGTCGGCGTAGGAGAAACAGGAAAGGCTGAAAGCGCAGTGAAAGAGGGAGGGAGCGAGCAGCCACGCTTTCTGGAGGAAAAAGTGTCTCCTGCAACCATATCTCGCCTGTCAACACTCTCAGCCAGACTCCTTACACTAGGAGCTCCCTGAAAGGAGAAAACCTGCTAGAAGCGTTAGAAGTGCATGCACTGGTAAGTGACTTAAAACCTCAGCGTACTAGTAATATAAACCGTGTATACTGAAAGCAGTCTCTCATTTGCAAGTACATTTAGCGAAAATAAGAAACAGAAAATATAAAACGTACAGTGACACAGCTCTTTCTGCCAAAAACACTGTATGGATCAGGGTGACGAACTCTAGCATAGCTTGTCTACATGCATGTTATTTTGATCATGAAAATCAGTCGTACATTACAGACCCGTGCGGAGACAGGTTCTACTGGTCTTTACCTGTAATTTAAATGAATGAATGGCTTCGTTAACACCTTTCACGTATACGGAAGTGTAAAATGCGTTTTATGTTCTTCAAAAACAAAACAAAACACACAAGAAGCTTTAAAAGAAATGAATTAAATTCAGCTCATTTCCTTTAGTTAATTAGCGTAAACAGGAAAGGCTGAAAGCGCAGTGAAAGAGGGAGGGAGCGAGCAGCCACGCTTTCTGGAGGAAAAAGTGTCTCCTGCAACCATATCTCGCCTGTCAACACTCTCAGCCAGACTCCTTACACTAGGAGCTCCCTGAAAGGAGAAAACCTGCTAGAAGCGTTAGAAGTGCATGCACTGGTAAGTGACTTAAAACCTCAGCGTACTAGTAATATAAACCGTGTATACTGAAAGCAGTCTCTCATTTGCAAGTACATTTAGCGAAAATAAGAAACAGAAAATATAAAACGTACAGTGACACAGCTCTTTCTGCCAAAAACACTGTATGGATCAGGGTGACGAACTCTAGCATAGCTTGTCTACATGCATGTTATTTTGATCATGAAAATCAGTCGTACATTACAGACCCGTGCGGAGACAGGTTCTACTGGTCTTTACCTGTAATTTAAATGAATGAATGGCTTCGTTAACACCTTTCACGTATACGGAAGTGTAAAATGCGTTTTATGTTCTTCAAAAACAAAACACACAAGAAGCTTTAAAAGAAATGAATTCAATTCAGCTCATTTCCTTTAGTTAATTAGCGTCTAGGCTGGAGACAAGATGATACTCCTTAACTTATTAGTATTTATTTTGTCTAATATTATCTTTCAATTATTAGTATGTAATTAAATAGTGACCAGTATGATTTTTGGTTTCACTAGTTGCTATTAATTAGATTTGGCACTTGCACACTGCTACTAGTTCCTTCAGAGACTGATACCTATTCAATTAGTCACCAGTGCATATTGCAGTTGTGACTAGTCAATTAGTCACATGTGCTTTAGACACTAGTACCTATTCCCTTGCTACTAGTCACTATCCCAGTAATACCAAGCAACTATTCCATTGGTATAGTGACTAGTAGCAAAGGAATTAGAATTTGTATTTTGTGAGTAGTTACTAGTGAAACGAGTGGATTACTTGTGTAGCGTCTGGACCAATCAAACACACAATATATATTCCTATTTTCCATCGACCGGTTAAGATTTACTACAAAAATTTGGTCTGGTTTTTGCCTTAGTCTGGACAAAATAGGCAGACAGGCTGAAGGAAAATGTAAATCCACTGTCTGAGAGCAGGGACTGGTTGCATAAAAGGCTTAGACTAGTCTTAAAAGTTAGTCATCTAAAAAAAAGTTTTAAGACTGCTCATAACTTTTTTTGAAACGCTTACATAAAAACATAGCTTGGTCTAACTTGAATCCGAAAAATAGCCTAAGACTTCTTGCCCCTTGGTTAACTGCTAGTTGGTCAAACTAGTTCTTAAGACACTGTCTTAACATAGTGTCTAAGTTTATGCAACTGGCCCCAGGTGGTGCTTATGGAACAACAGAAATCGAGCTGTTTCCCTGGTAACCTCTGTTAACAAAACAGCGCTGCACTTGCTTTATTACGCATTACACAGAGGGAAGATGAAAAGCAAATGCCATCAAAACTTTTCTGAAGACAGTCGGTTCCCCCTTATGCATTCATACAATTCATTCAATCATACGTTCTTTCATATAATTTCTCTCAGCAGTCTGCCTTTAGTCATGTTTTCACACAAAACGTAACCTACTCTGCATGAGACTCTTACTAACTTTGCTTAACGCTAAGCAGTATTTACCACAATTTTTTCAAATAGCGATAATCAAATACGGGTTTAATGTTTTCCTTCCACTCAACTTTCTGTTAACATGCTTGGATACAGCACTCTGTGAACAGCCAGCTTCTTTGGCAATGAATGTTTGTGGCTTACCCTCCTTGTGAAGGGTGTCAATGATTGTCTTCTGGACAACTGTCAGATCAGCAGTCTTCCCCATGATTGTGTAGCCTAGTGAACCAAACTGAGAGACCATTTTGAAGGCTCAGGAAACCTTTGCAGGTGTTTTGAGTTGATTAGCTGATTGGCATGTCACCATATTCTAATTTGTTGAGATAGTGAATTGGTGGGTTTTTGTTAAATGTGAGCCAAAATCATCACAATTAAAATAACCAAAGACTTAAACTACTTCAGTCTGTGTGCACTGATTAATACACGAGTTTCACAATTTGAGTTGAATTACTGAAATAAATGAACGCACACAATGCATTCTAATTTATTGAGATGCACCTGTATATGTGTGTGTGTATAATATATCATTTGTAAGTTGCTTTGGATAAAAGTGTCTGCTAAATTACTAAATGTAAATGTAAATGTAATTACCATCTGATGCCATTACCGTACCTTTGTAAATGGGGTCATATCAGGTCACTGGTAATTCTGCGTGCAGTAGGATCAATACTACTAAAACACTCTGCAGCAGTAATATAGGAAAGTACATGACTAATCAGTCGCTGTAGCTGAGACTATCTACTGAATCCACATTCCAGACTAACCCATAGTTTTCTGTTGGCGGGTGAAGATCCTCCTTTATGTTCTTTATGCCAGAATCCATTATCTTTGAAGCATATTTTGATGGATTGTAATAGTTTAAAGTCTGTCAGAACTCATTATTTTTCTGTTGACTTTTATGGAAAGATTTTTAAATGAAGGCCAGGTTTAGTTTTAGAATTTTTATCTAAGATCAAATTTAAAAACTGAATTTTACTTAACTAACCTAGTTCTCGCAATGAATATAGCCAAGGTAGCTCGCATGGCGTTAAATCATAAACAAACAAACAAATCTATTGAATCTAGAAACACACTGCTAGGTTTTCTCTTGCTCATTTATATTACAAAAATGTACCATGATAAACTTTGTTTCTGTAGTTATTGTTACTAGCCCAAAAATATGCTATGTTTTCCAGTAAGTGTAAGCTGTCAGAATCCTACTGTAACTTCTTGTTTTGATTTTATTTTCTAATACAAAGTTTCTGCAGTTTTAGTGGGGAAGCAATATCTCTGTCAAAAATTTTGCTGCATGCAGTGGTCACAGTAGTGTGATATTTCGTAAGAGATGTGAATGTAGACCTCAACTTACAGAAAATGTTTTTTTGTGGAGAAACAGTTTTTACTTAAGTTAAGTAAGAAGCTAGTAAACGTCACAAATAATTACAAAGAATTGGCAAGTAACACATTGAATTACACATGATATTTTGAAGTCGAAAGACTGAAATAGTAGTTTCTTGCAAGGCATACTCCAATAATCTTTATTTTTTATTTGCTTTGAAAAATCTTTTTTTTTACAGTGTATAAAAGCATTTTAAAGACCAGTTTTAGGGTGTGAATTATGGAACCTCTGTGCTCCATTTGATTATATTTTAAAAGCTGCACCTTGATCTATTTTTTTGGATGTAGTCTGTGCTTGATTTTACAAGTTTTCTTGGTTTTCTGTGGTATTGTGCTTAACTTGTTTTACATCACTGGTCTCTGTGAGTCCACTATGACTCATCACTTCCTTCAGGCCGATGTTTGCAGTGATGCTGGATGTCAAATCTAGATGTACATTGATACAGCAATGTGTGAGTGAGGGACTGGGTGTGGTACGATGTTGTTGTTTTTTTTTTGTTTGTTTTTTTGGGCTTTTTATCAGAACAATGCTGACTACAGAAGTCTTTGAATGCGTTGTTTTCTTTACTGTCTGTACGTACATTTACCGCACTCTAGTGATTTGGGTGGGTGATGTGCAGGGAGGGCTTTGGGGGTGGAGCGGTTTCTCTCTCTTCATTAGTAAATTGCTGGGTCAAGGACCGGACTGTCTGTTACAGTAACTGAACACTCTGTTCTCCTCGCCACATACATCCACATTAATTCTCATCGCAGAAGGGGAGCGGTGGAAAAAAAGTGAGACCATTCTCAAGGTGCATAAAGAAGATAAAATGACATTCTTATTTGGAGCATTACTTTGTCCTTGCAGACAATTTTATCCATAAATCAGTAAAAGGTTCTGAGGCCTTTTTTGGAATGTTAGTAATAGGCAATGCTTTTAATGTTTAATGTTTTAATAGATAAAACAGAAACCTGGAAACATTTTTAGGATTTTATCAAATATCAGATTGAAAGAAATTAAGTAGTTTTTTTTATTGTAATGTTGTGTTTTAAAATTGTTTGATCAACTTGCTGTGAAAATATAGGCATTGTTGCTGATGTGTAAATAAATAAATGCATTTTTTAGGATGTTAGTTTTTGTTAATTTTTTTTTTTTCCATTTGTTAAAAGAAAAAAGATTATTAAATACACGACTGTTCAAAAGTTTGGAGTCAGTAGGATCTTTAAAAATGTTTTTGAAAGAACCCATGGTAAATTTTACAGTCCGTGTCACATGATCCTTCAAAAATCATTCGAATATGATGCATTTTTTAATGATTCTTTGATGAATAGAAAGTTCAAAAGAACAAAGTTTATTTGAAATAGAAATCATTATTATTCATTGAATGCGTTCTTGCTAAATAAAAGTAGTAATTTCTTTCTCCAACGAAAAAAAAAGGGGGGAAAAAATCTTTTCAATGGTAGTGTATTCATTTTTGAATCATTGGATCCATATATTGTCTGTGTTGTTTCAGCCTATGCACACTATGGTGTTGAATGCAGATTGAGATTTGCTATTAGAGTTGGTTTTTCTTGTCATTCTCTGCCGACTGGTTTATCTTGTCTTTTTGAAACAAAGACGGGGTATGTTGACCCCACTGACAGCCCGGCACTCTCGTTCTTCTGCACGTCCTGACAGGGTTCAGACAGGCGGCGGTGATGTCATCTGAATGAGACCTCAGCCTGCCAGTCACAAATGCACTCATGTATGAGAGTTTTCACTGTTGCACTGTTGATAAAGAGAATGGAAACAACAACAACTAGCTCAAATAGGTGTACTAAGATTTAGTGTAATTGGTTATAAAGACATTGTCTGCACCTCAGACTGTACTGTCTGTCTGGATGGGTTTTCTTTTGGTTCAAGAAAGTTCAGCTGATTTGTGCCTGATTGCCCTTCTGTCATGTGTCAGTCAGACTGCAGTTGAATGTTGCTCTCGTGCACCGCACAAAGTCCAGGGCTAATCAAATCAGAGTGAGCATCAAGCCAATTTTTAGCTGCCTTTCCTGATTCAGGGAAAGGTAAAGAGATAGATCAGCAGATAAACAGAGAAATGGTTTTCTTTTGGTTCAAGAAAGTTCAGCTGATTTGTGCCTGATTGCCCTTCTGTCATGTGTCAGTCAGACTGCAGTTGAATGTTGCTCTCGTGCACCGCACAAAGTCCAGGGCTAATCGAATCAGAGTGAGCATCAAGCCTATTTTTAGCTGCCTTTCCTGATTCAGGGAAAGGTAAAGAGATAGATCAGCAGATAAACAAAGAGAAATGTAATAATAGTGAGAGAAAAAAACATGGAAAATGACAAAACATTTGTGTCTGTGTCAGCAGCATGCTATTTAAATGTAAGCATTGTGTAATTTAAATGTGTAGCAAGGGTGTTAGTTTCCCAGTTAATGCAGAATGGACAAAGTAACTTGGCTTCATGTATTTATCTTATGTGTTGTATATTAAATAAAAATGTATACCCTTGTATACCTTTTTTTTTTTGTTGTGCAAATGTCAGTGACTTGTAAATCTTATTTGTGTCTATTAAACTATGGTAACAAAGTGTGTCACAGCAAATCTAGCAGAAAGTATTTATTTATTGATTGATTGATTGATTTTTGATTTTATATAGCCTTTATTTATTTATTTACTTTTTTATTTATTGCACTGATCTGACCTGTTGCAGTTTTGTAGAGCATTTTTTAAAAAGTGCTGCTCATTTATTGGTCTCAAGTGACTGATGGCTAATGAGTTGCTGTGTGTTTTTCTCTGCAGTGCTTTAGTCATCTAGCACCATGTCAGCCAAAGCCATCTCTGAGCAGACAGGGAAGGATTTTCTTTACAAACACATTTGCACTACAGCCGCCATACAGAACCGCTTTTGCTATGCTAACGTGACGGCAGAAACTGACTGGAAGCGACTGGTTCAGGATCACCCCTGGCTTCTGACGGAGGTAAGACAGCTGTTGGTAAAAAAAATCGATCTGGGGTGACATTTGGACTTGAGGTAAAACTGCAACTGCCAAGTGATGCCAATGATCAAAAATGACTTGTGTCCATGAGGCACTTATACATAGGCCAGTAATTAAAACAAATAGTACAGGTGGAATTAGAGAACTCATTGTCTGTGTTCGTCTCCGACACATTTACAAACTGTTGCAAAATGGATCATTATGTACTCTTGGCTAGTAATTGGTAACACTTGGTTTTGATCTCTATTCAAAAACTATATAATATAAATATTGTAAATATAATATATGATATAAATATTGTTTAATTGTATTATAATATAAAATAATAATATTTTTATTCATTCAATTATATCTTCATTAAATTAAATTAATTATATATTACATATATATATTTGTTTCTAAAATATATATTAGTAAGAAATGTACATATTTTTATTGCAATACATTAATACTATGTACTGTATGCATAGGTTTTAAATTGAGTTTGTAGCAGTTATTGCCATTATTAACAGAATAGTTTCTCTAAATGATTCACAAATCATCCATCGAATGCACTGTTACCAGCAGTTCCAACCAATTAGATGTATAAAGGGAAATTTTGCTGAAGACTCGTGAGGGATAAATAAGTAAAAGAAATCGCATAGTGAGACATTGAAGATGTTGGCGGAGAGGATGGCGGTCATTAGTATGCTACTTGACTAGCACATCAATTAAGGGAGCTAAAGTGAGCGTAGCAGACAGTACAGGGACAGTTTCTGCTGAAAAAGCACTCTTAATCACCTTTTATGGAGGAGCCAGAGGGTTAATGATATTAGATATGACTCATGGTCTCTCTGTCCCCTCCCTATCTTTAGTCAGTGACTGAGACGGGCTTAATTAGGAAATCATGAAATTTCTTTTGACCGCCCTCCCGCCTTCTGTTTGTGTTTCTAAAAATGAACAAGGAAGTCCAGTTTTATTTAACACACAATGGGCTTCAAAAGCCTGAGACCATGTTCATTTAAACCTGGAAGAGGATTTCGGTTAATTTAAACCTTGCGATGATCTTTAAAATTTTAAAACAAAGTTGAAGTGAAAATTCAGACCATTCTAGATCTCGTAGTCTGTTTCAAACTAGTCATTTTGTTACAGTTTGTCAAATTCTTGAATTCCCATAATTTTCCATTCATTGTTGTTTTTGCAATAATCCACTTTTTTTTTTCCCCCAGAGTAACCGATGAGCGGATTGACATGATGAATTCTAACTTCCTTTTGGATGATCTTGTGTTTCAGTCTCCCTAAAAATCTATGTTAAAATGGGGTAAAAAGGTCAACTGATGCTGATGTCAAATGCTGACAAGAGAAAATGAGCATGACTTGCAGCGCTTAATTGAAAATACTCTGTGTAAAATAATAAAATGTTAAAATAATGTGTGCTCTTATCATTTTGTGGACAAAATCCCGTGAACATCGCCCCAATCGGGAGCTGTATGTAGGATATGTGTGCACATGTGTATTCAGTGCAGCTTACCTCGTGTCGCTTCGTCATCCACCCATTCATTAAACTATGACGGGTTACTGCAAAAAGTTACATTGATTGCAAAAAGACGGTCATTGGGATACTGTAAACTTTACAGTGTAAAGTGATGAAACTATGGTGCCATGTACTTTCTTAAACTATTTTCATAGATTTAACATTATATTATCCTTTTTTTTTTTTAAACGCGTTAATTTGACTAGAAACACCAGAGACCGGAAATGTAATGCACTTATCCGTAATGATTCGGGCATTCAGGAAAAAGGTGGATATGATGCTTAACCTAATAAATGATAATTAATATGTCATGCTTCTGTCCAGCGGTTGGTTGTTAAGCCAGATCAGCTGATCAAGCGCAGAGGAAAACTGGGACTGGTGGGTGTGAACCTGGATCTGGAGGGCGTGAAGGAATGGCTCCAAACCCGCCTTATGAAGGAGACAACGGTGAGGACAGATACCCAAACCACCTCTTAACCTTTATCTTTAGTTTCATTGGCATATTAATGTGTAAATTATGTGTAAATTGCATTTGCTGTGTGTGCAGTTTATGTAACCCAGTATATTAAATGTCATGTCCTGCGTTCAGCGTTGCCTGAGGGCCAAAAACATATTGCTGAGAGAAAGACAGACATTGTTTTCTTCTTATAATATTTTTGTGTTTTGCTGTCGTATGCTGCACATTTTTTGTAGGTTATTTCTGCAAGGTCTCTCTCTGTCTTTCGTCTGCTAGACTGGTCATAGCTCCTGTGTACTCTCCCTCTTTCAAGGGAGCGTTTCATCGTTTTCCCACCTTGTCATCTCTTTATTTTCTCTCTCTCTCTTTCTCTCTCTTTCTCTCTTTCTCTCTTTCTTTCTTTCTTTGAAATGTCACCTCACCTTCCTCTCTCTTTCTAGCTGTATGCTGCACATTTTTTGTAGGTTATTTCTGCAAGGTCTCTCTCTGTCTTTCGTCTGCTAGACTGGTCATAGCTCCTGTGTATTTTCCTTTATTTTCTCTCTCTCTTTCTCTCTCTTTCTCTCTTTCTCTCTTTCTTTCTTTCTTTGAAATGTCACCTCGCCTTCCTCTCTCTTTCTAGCTGATTTATATCAACTGGCCTTTTGGCCCACTGTTTTGACTGCAGCACAAATGAGATTGTTTTGTGTGTGTGTGTGTGTTTGGCTTACGGCTCTGCTTGTCAAATCTTTCGTTTTTCTCAGAGTCCCTGAACACTGAGGTCCAGTCACTGGTGCTCAACACAAGGCTTTAGACTGTATGAACACTTGCTCTCCTTTTCTTTACCTCCTCCTTCCCATCTCTGGCCTCCTTTTCTTCTGCCTCTTACATAATTCTCTTTTCATTGTGTGTTTTTCATTAGGAGAAGCTTTTAGATTCAGACCAAAGGCAATTTCTGACATTTAACCCTTATGGAAAGCCTTATATACTAGCATAAGCTTTTAAAATGAACATCTCTGTCTCTCAGGTGGGGAAGGCTAAAGGGATCCTCAAAAACTTCCTGATTGAGCCCTTCGTAGCCCACAAGCAGGTGAGCCCATGAATGCATAATAATAATAATAATAATAATAATAACTGTAATAATCATAACTGTGTATATGAATGAAATGGTTAATTTAATTGTTGTATAATAATAATAAAAGCGGCAGAATTATTGTATTATTATAAGACACAGTTAATTATGCATCTAACATATATTTTATTTGGTCATTTATTGGAATTATTATTATTATTATTATTATTAATAATAATTAAAATTAGTCAAATAAAATGGAATAATAAAAATGTATGTTAGATGCAGAATTGTTATTAATAATAATAATAATAATAACAATATAATTCTGCAGCTATTATTATTATTATTAACTATTTTGCTGCTAATATAAATTTTTATAGTAGGGGTTGTGTTATTTAAATCATTGTAAAATTATGATATTGTATGTTAATGGATTACTAATGAAGTTGGCATTAGGGGCACGGCACTGGATTGGTTCTCATCATACCTCTCCGATAGATCAGCTAAGGTGATGATTGGACACTCGTCCTCTCCTTCTGCACCGCTCACCTATGGGGTACCTCAGGGGTCCCTCTTGGGGCCTATCTTATTTTGTTTGTATATGCTCCCCTTGGGTTCGATCATGAGGAAATATAATATTTCATATCATTGTTATGCTGACGATACTCAGATCTACATTCCTCTCAACTCTGATCACTCTTATTCTGACCTTTTTAATTGCTTTGAAGATATTAAAGGCTGGACTGGCAGAAACTTTCTCCAACTAAATGAGAGCAAAACTGAGATTGTTGTCTTTGGACCCTCAGGTGCTGTCTCTGATATCACTATTAATCTAGATTCTATGTCATCAAACATTCATCCTTTTGCTAAAAACTTAGGTGTGATTTTTGACACTGATCTGAAATTTGAAAAACAGATAAGTGCTGTGGTGAAGAGCAGCTTTTTTCAACTAAGGCAAATAGCCAAATTAAAATCTATGCTCTCGTTTAAGGATTTGGAGATAGTTACTCACGCCTTCATCACTTCCAGACTTGATTATTGCAATGTGCTTTATATGGGTCTCAATCATTCATCGCTGAATCGCTTGCAGTTGGTCCAGAATGCAGCCGCGAGGTTGCTGACTGGTACTAAGAGGAGAGAAAGCATTTCTCCTGTCCTAGCATCTCTTCATTGGTTACCGGTGCAGCATAGGATCCATTTTAAGATTTTATTATTTGTGTATAAAGCATTAAATGATCTAGCCCCATCATACTTGTCCGAACTTCTCAGTTATCAGCAATCCTCTCGCTCTCTCAGATCCTCTGATAAACTTTTCTTGCATATACCTCGCTCTCGCTTGAAATTTAAGGGGGATCGGGCTTTTTCTGTAGCCGGTCCTCGACTATGGAACAGCATACCTCTGGACATTAGATCTGCGCCTTCCCTTCCTGTTTTTAAATCCCGCCTGAAGACTTATCTGTATTCCTTGGCTTTTGGATGAAATGTATGTTTGTGTATGTTAATGTGTTTTGTATTGATTATGTGTTTTTGAGTCATTTCTTTTTATTCTCTTAATCTCTATATTTACTTATTTGTATATGTACAGCACTTTGGCATACACTAGCTGTTTTTAAATGTGCTATATAAATAAACTGACCTTGAACTTGACCTTGACTATCCGAGACCTGGCTTGAGCAAAAATGAGGAAGGGAGAGGTAACTGTTGAATTGTGACTTTCCCACAGGAGGAGGAGTTTTACGTGTGTATCTATGCCACACGTGAAGGTGATTACATGCTCTTCCATCATGAGGGAGGTGTAGACGTGGGAGACGTGGACTCTAAAGCCCTGAAACTCTTGGTAGGAGTGGATGAGAAGATCAGTGCGGACACAGTCAAGAGTCAGCTCCTCACACACGCCCCTGCAGATAAGAAAGAGTGAGTCAGACAATCAAATCAAATAAATAAATATTACATATTGTATAAATGTTAAAGGAACACGCCACTATTTTTGAAAATAGGATCATTTTCCAACTCCCCTAGAGTTAAACAGTTGAGTTTTACCGTTTTCAAATCCATTCAGCCGATCTCCGGGTCTGGCGGTAGCACTTTTAGCTGTAGCTTAGCATAGATAATTGAATCTGATTAGACCGTTAGCATCTCGCTCAAAAATGACCAAAGAGTTTCTATATTTTTCCTATTTAAAACTTGACTCTTCTGTAGTTACATCGTGTACTAAGACCGACGGAAAATGAAGAGTTGCGATTTTCTAGGCCGATATGGCTAGGAACTATACTCTCATTCCGGCGTAATAATCAAGGAACTTTGCTGCCATACCATGGGTGCAGCAGGCGCAATGATAGTTACCTAGTTGGGGACTATTTTCATGCTAACGGTCTAATCAGATTCAACGATCTATGCTAAGCTGCAGCTAAAAGTGCTACTGCCAGACCCGGAGATCGGCTGAATGGATTCAAAAATGGTAAAACTAAATTTTTTTTACTCTAGGGGAGTTAGAAAATGAGCCTATTTTCAAAAATAGTGGCGTGTTCCTTTAACATATTTTAATCCATTCAGCAGAAATGCATCGATTTTCTCACTAAATTGTAGTGAGAGTGAAATCTATCGACTATAATTCTAGTCATCTATAGTTTTTATGTATAGTTTATTTAGCCTTTTTGTGTTGTGCTGAGGTGTTTGCACTTCATCGTTATGCCGGTCCGCAGTTTAGTTTTTTGTTTTTTTCTGTCAGTTGTGCATGAAAATCAAGATTTAAAATCTGTATAGAAACTCCTTTTTATGCTATATGCTGATTCAACTTCCTTTGCCATATAAAAACCACTCTAGGGGAAATATAACCATAATTTAATAGCTTCAAAACCCCCTTGGGGGTCACTTCTGCATCCCTGTATGTAAGATGCTTCAGGCAGTTCTTGGTCTTGCTATATCGAGACAGGATAACAGTGAGCAAAAAAATTAGACTGATGGAGAAGAACGGAGAACAAACAAGCAAACGAGGTGCTCTCAGCTGTGCCAGCACTAGTTGAGGTCACTTTGATCCATTACACAAATGAAATCTTTCCCCGTCTCCTCCCACCCCCCAGTATTATTCAATTCACGTCTATAAACTGTCCGTCTTTTTGATGGCACACATACACTGACATCTCGTTCTGGCTGGCCTCACCGTCTTGGCTGACATTGAGATTGACGGGGAGACAGGATTGGCTGCATTGGCCAGTATCCACACACCTCTATTTCTGTTCATCCATCTCTTTTATTCTTCCTCTCTCTCTCTTACTGTCAGTCAAACACACACACACACACACACACACACACACAACGTTTTTAGGAAAATTACAGCTTGAAATAAAACATGCAACTCCCTCTCACAAATATTGTGCCGTAAAACAGAATTTTCCCTCCCCCCAAATCTCCTTTTGTTATTTTTCACTGAGTGTATTTACTGATTTATTGTCATCCCACAAGTTCCTCCCTCTTCCTCCAGTGATTCAGTCTCCCTGTCATTCCGGGTATAATTTGTGCTCTCCGGACTACAGACCGTCACAATTAATTTTTTTTATGAGGTGGATGACGGATGATTCTCTCACTTTCTCCTCCCTCACATCTCCCTCTATTTTCCCCTTATTACCTCAAACACCAGCTGTTCCGGCTCACACCAGTAACCAGTTCTGTCGTTTAATCGAGTGTCATTACTGTTCATAGTCTGTTTGTTTCTAGTTTGTTTTGTATACAATATTACAGAAGCATCAGTAGTCAGTATTGCAAAAATTATGTTCTTAATCAGTATTTTTATTTTTTCAAATGCTGCTTACTGACTTTTTGAATGAATACTTTTTTGTTTTGCATGGATCATCAGTGATGTTACAAAAGATTTCTATTTCAAATAAAAAATTTTTGAGCTTTCTTTTCATAAAAGAATCTCGAATAAAAGTGTATCACTGTTTTCACAAAGCTATTAAGCACACAACCGTTTCCAACATTGATAATAAGAAATGTGTCTTCAGCAGCAAATCAGCATATCTGAATGGTTTCTGATGGATCATGTGACACTGAAGTAATGATCATCACCATCACAGGAATAAATTATAGTTACAAATTAAAATAAAAACTTTTTAAATGTAATATATTTTATAATAAATCACTGTTTTGCTGTATTTAAAGAAACTTAGTCCTGTGAACCCCAAACCTTTAAACACTCTTTTAAACAAACAAGTGCCAGTGGATAAAGAAAAAAACTTAATTTCAGAGTCTCTAACAAGTCTGTTTTGTTTGGTTTTGTATTTCCAATGTTTGTTCATTCATTTGGGTTTTAAATGACAGTCATTAAATTGTCAAGTACAAATCCACATATTTACTTTGTGAAGTCAATGATGAGGTGGAACTAAACTAAACTACTTCATTTGTGTCTGTTTAGCACATTCAAAATATTTAATGTAACAATAATATTGTTAACGTAATATTACATGGATGTTTTTTTTTTGCCTGCAGGATGTTGATTAGTTTCCTGGTGGGCTTGTTTAACATGTACGAAGACTTGTACTTTACATACTTGGAGATCAACCCTCTTGGTAAGTCTTAAAAGCGGCCCATCCCACCTCAGCTGACGGTCTCTTATGGATGACGTTTGTGCACCCAGCCGGACTTCTGATTCAATTCTTCCCAAAGTCTAGGCACTGTTGATTCGCTCTATGGAGACCAAAGACAAAGCACTTCCAGTTCTTTGCAAGGCAGTAAAAGTTCTGCTTGCTCATTACATTTGGATGACTAAAAACAAATCTTATGTACACAATATTGATTTGCTTATTTTCCTTCATTACTGAAGGCTGAACTCCGATCCAACTCAGTGTGAAAAAAAACATCATAGAATGTTTTGAGGAAAGATTTAATTTGATAAAATTAAGGTTAATTAATTAACATGGATGCTGTTTGATGGTGACTGGGAATGTTTCATATGGCATTAATTAATAATCCCCGAGTGCCCTATGGCATCTGTTCCTGTGTTGTGAACTGAGTTTCAAATTTCCTTTGATGTTCCTCTTCGTGTTTTTGTCTATAATAAGTCACATTTTTAACATTTCGCATATTTAAACAAGCAGTGAATGTTGGCTGTTAGAAAATACACTTGTTTCTTATAGCATTTCACTTTTTTTAAACCATAAAAGCGCATAGTCATCCAGTGGAATGCATGACTCAAGATTCATATATGCCAATAAGAATCAAAATATTGAAACACTTTAATGCGCGTGAAAACATCAAGTGCACCTCAACATCGCATTTCCACAGCGCAACCCAAAGCATTCAGTAACTGAGATTTAAATGAAGCATTCAGTGGAAATGTGCATTTCATTATTGCCTAAGGAAGGCAAAAAATGCAACGTGACATCAGTTTGTGAAGTTGAAACTGGGATGAACAAACGCTCTCTTTCTCTCTGTCAGTGGTCACTAAGGATGGAGTGTATGTGCTGGACATGGCTGCTAAAATCGATGCCACAGCCGATTACTTGTGTAAAGCCAAGTGGGGTGATGTGGAGTTTCCCCCTCCCTTCGGCAGAGAGGCCTATCCGGAGGTAACAATCAAAATCACATGTAGATGTGTATTTTGTTGGATGATATTGTACATTTTCAGTGATTCAATAACAGATGCCATCTAAGTATTAATTTGTATGAGTTGATCTGTAAGCCCAACTAGGAACAGGAAGGAACTGCCTGACTTTATCACTGGTTGTTGATTCATCAGCGGACGCTTGTACTTCTCTCATTCTGCCGCATTTGCTTACTTTCACTTCTAAAGTATATGATTTAATAATTAATTAGAGGCAGTCTTTCATAAATCATTCATTCACCACACACAGACACGATTACAGTGATGAGTCATGCAGAGAGCGAGAACGATGTGTTTTCTGCTCTGCGTCATTGTTGGCAGTATGTGTTGAGGCAATGTTTATCTGACAGAAGGCAGGTTTAATTGGTCTCACACACACAGATACATTAGCTGTTACAACAGACTGGTTTTGCTGGAATAAAATTAGAGTTGGTGTTTTAATAAATAACTTTTGGTATACTCTTGTACCTTTCTGTCAGATGTGCTGCTGTAATTAGTTGTTGATCCATATGGGTTGGACAGGGAAGAGTTAAATATTTGGCCAATTATTCATTAAATATTTGGCCAACACGCAGTCCACGAGCCATTTTATGAAGTTTCTGTTTACTGTGTCTGCACACCTGAAACTAATTGGTTTCTGCTGCTATTTGTCATGTATAAGCATTTTATTTCTCTAATTATGGCATTTTACTAGTAGATACACCTTTTTGTCATCTTTTTTTTTTTTTTTTTTTTTTTTTTTTTTAATTTACCATGTGATTTGAACCAAACTTGAGAATGAAAAAACAGCAGATTTTGTGTTTAGCCACTGATGTAAGGTGCAGTACACAAACCTTTTCATAACATTCCTGTAGGAGGCATACATAGCAGATCTAGATGCTAAGAGTGGCGCCAGCCTTAAGCTCACTCTCCTGAACCCTCGCGGACGGATCTGGACTATGGTGGCAGGGGGCGGAGCTTCTGTCGTCTACAGGTACCTGTCACTCAGGAGTTAGTCTAGTTTGCATATGATGTGTGAATGTTAACTCTTAGTGTTAACTGCTTAAGTTTAAAGGGATATTTCATCCAGAAATAAAAGATTCAGTCATTGACTCTCATATCATTCCAAATCTGTAGTACTTTATTTCTTCTGCAGAACACACAAGATACTTTGAAAAATGTTTCAACTGTTTTGCCCATACAGTGAAAGTCTGTGGTGTCCAAAGCAACACTGGACCTCATTGACTTTCATTGTTTGGACAAAAACACTAAGACATTGTTCAAAAGATCTTCTTTTGTGCTCCACAGAAAGAAAGAAAGTCCTACAGATTTGTAAGGACATGAGGGTGAGTCAATGACTGAATTTTCATTTCTAAATGAAATCCTTATGAGTGAAATCCTTAACAGTAGCTTGGAATATGCAATTTACAGTAAGAGACCGTTTGAAGAAAGATGCTGGTGTAATGAGCAGAAATCTTGTGCTTCATAGACTGAGAGATGAAGCAGATACCTGCCTGAGCCAGACTCTGAGAGCTAAATGACATTACCATCCATGCTTGATAACAGTTATCTAGAGGTTTATCTTTCACTGCTGCATCTGTCCTTCTCTCTGGATGGAGAGAGGAGATGGAGCGAGAGAAAGCATTGTGAGACTAATTAGGATGTGTACGTGCTGTCCTCTGAGAGTAGAGCAGAGGATCAAGAAACCAAATTTTTTCCTCTTTAATGCTCATAAACAAACAAATAAACCATGAACAAATAAAACGGATGCTAGATTTACTGGTTAATATTGACTTGTTCTATTTCCTGTGTTTCCTAATGTTGTGATTTCATTGGGATTTCTGTCATAAATATTCTTGGCATAATAGCCAATAGTTTAACATTGCATTTTTCCTCTCTCATAGTGACACAATCTGTGATCTGGGCGGAGTCAATGAACTGGCCAATTACGGAGAGTATTCAGGTGCTCCGAGTGAGCAACAAACGTACGACTATGCCAAGACCATCCTCTCCCTCATGACCCGTGAGAAACACCCCAATGGTACGTCCACCAAGACCTTGTTGTCCAAGTCTTAAAGTCCAACTTTCTTTGGAAGTCTTTCACCTAAAAGGATTTGTTTTTGTTTTTTTTTGAGCAAGTGCTTTTATGAATTTTTTTATTTTATTTTATTTATTTTTTTTACAAGTCTTGTCTAAACGTTTTATTTTTTAATGTGTAAAATCTTTAAAACTTCATCACTAAATACTAGGGGGAAATAATTCGTTAATTTTAAATTTAATTTTGGAGAGGTTTGTCCCACACCCAGATTTTTTAAAACTGTCCCTCTATAAGAAATGTTTATTAAATTTATATTTATATAAAAAGTTAAAATCCAGAAAAATTCTTTTTACTTTGTCATATTGAAAGAAATATTATAAATTATTATTATTATTATATTAAGAGGTAATTATTAGCATCAATACTGCTGTGATTACCAAACAATTTTGTTTCAGAAACATTTTTTTAATTCAAAGTTACTAGACTGGTAGCTAACTTGTTAACAATCTTAAGGCTTAACCCATTTTTTTTCAATCAGAAAGTGAAAGATGTCATCACTATAATGTACTTTTGAATGATTTTTTGATGTACTGTGTGTGGTAAAATCTACTGATAGTTTAATCAAGGCCATGATCATGTTCCATGGCATGTGATAAATGTTACCTGAAACTTTCCTGAAAGATTCTGTATGTTTGATTTTGAAAATCTAAAGTAGGCAGATTAAGACGATGAATCACTCCTTTATGTATATTATATCTGCGGTATCTAATGTGTCACTGTTTTTTTTTCTCTTGTGTAGGTAAAGTCCTGATCATTGGAGGCAGCATTGCCAACTTCACCAATGTAGCGGCAACATTCAAGGTTTGATCATAGAGTCCCTCATACTGTGCATGTGCATTTGTGCCATCTATCTGCACATGTGAATATTGTAACACACACCCTTTTTGTGATTGTTTGGCTGTTTTGTATGTATCAGGGTATCGTCAGGGCTATCAAAGATTATCAGGACCCTCTGAAAGAGCATGAGGTCACTATATTTGTCCGTCGTGGCGGCCCGAACTACCAGGAAGGTTTAAGAGTGATGGGGGAAGTTGGTGAGTTTGTGCATGTGCACATTTGTAAGTGTACATAGTCAAAGCTTTGAGACTTAGGGCTGTATCATACACTTGGTGCAATGCGGCGCCAGGCGTGACGCAAGTGTTTTTTGCTAGTTTCAGCCCGACGCAGTAATAATTTTCACGCCCTGCACCACATTGTTTAAATAGCAAATGCATTTGCACCCATTTGTGCACTCATGGGCGTGCTGGTCTGAAAACAAGGTGTGTTCAGGCGCATTGTTGGTGCGTTGTTATTTTGAGGCAACTAAAATAGACTGCGCCATTGACCAACTAAAGCCTGGTTTAAAGTCAATGGCGCAGTCATTTTTTTTGTTATTTAAAGAGCGCGTTAGTATAGGCGGGTCCACAGTGCGTACACTCTGCTAATTACACACACAGAGTTAGGTACACACACAGCAGCACACAAGCATGCCAAATAGTACAAATTAAAGTATTAAAATGTAAAAGATTATTATTGTGTAGGCTACATAAATATAAAAATGCCTACATGTCATAATGGATAGTCATTGCATGTATCAGAATTAGGCTACCTATTTGCTCGTGCACAAGCAGCTCCGTTTCCTCTCTGGAGACGCGTTCTGTCTTTGCTCTTGCAAATTACACCATGTAAATAGCAGATCCACCATGGCAACTGGCTCTTAAAGGGAATGGGAGATGAGACTTTGATTGGTTTATTGCACGTTATGCCCAAAACACACCCATTACTCATTAAGAGAATAGGGACAACCTTTTTAGACCATGCGCTGGGTGCGCCGGCCGTTTTTCCCATCGTTAAACTAGCAAAAGTGGATTTGGACACGCTCTAAGTGCACCTGTGCCGTGCGCTTTAGACCTGGCGCTTAGATCGTTAAAATAGGGCCCTTAATCTCATGTTCATGTCTTTTGTGTGTGTGTGCTTGTGCAGGAAAGACCACCGGTATCCCCATTCATGTTTTTGGCACTGAAACCCACATGACTGCTATTGTTGGAATGGCACTAGGTCACCGGCCAATCGCCACACAGCCTCGTGTTGCCGCCCACACTGCTAACTTCCTTCTCAACACTAGCGGTGGTACCACAGTGAGTGAATGTGTGACTTGATCTTTTGTTCATGTCTTAAGTCTTACTTTAAATGTGCTTGCATTAAAAACCTCTCAAGCATGCCATTAGATGATCCAGGGCTTTTAGTAAAGTAAAGTTTCCTATGACGCAAGTGTTTTTTGCTAGTTTCAGCCCGACGCAGTAATAATTTTCACGCCCTGCACCACATTGTTTAAATAGCAAATGCATTTGCACCCATTTGTGCACTCATGGGCGTGCTGGTCTGAAAACAAGGTGTGTTCAGGCGCATTGTTGGTGCGTTGTTATTTTGAGGCAACTAAAATAGACTGCGCCATTGACCAACTAAAGCCTGGTTTAAAGTCAATGGCGCAGTCATTTTTTTTGTTATTTAAAGAGCGCGTTAGTATAGGCGGGTCCACAGTGCGTACACTCTGCTAATTACACACACAGAGTTAGGTACACACACAGCAGCACACAAGCATGCCAAATAGTACAAATTAAAGTATTAAAATGTAAAAGATTATTATTGTGTAGGCTACATAAATATAAAAATGCCTACATGTCATAATGGATAGTCATTGCATGTATCAGAATTAGGCTACCTATTTGCTCGTGCACAAGCAGCTCCGTTTCCTCTCTGGAGACGCGTTCTGTCTTTGCTCTTGCAAATTACACCATGTAAATAGCAGATCCACCATGGCAACTGGCTCTTAAAGGGAATGGGAGATGAGACTTTGATTGGTTTATTGCACGTTATGCCCAAAACACACCCATTACTCATTAAGAGAATAGGGACAACCTTTTTAGACCATGCGCTGGGTGCGCCGGCCGTTTTTCCCATCGTTAAACTAGCAAAAGTGGATTTGGACACGCTCTAAGTGCACCTGTGCCGTGCGCTTTAGACCTGGCGCTTAGATCGTTAAAATAGGGCCCTTAATCTCATGTTCATGTCTTTTGTGTGTGTGTGCTTGTGCAGGAAAGACCACCGGTATCCCCATTCATGTTTTTGGCACTGAAACCCACATGACTGCTATTGTTGGAATGGCACTAGGTCACCGGCCAATCGCCACACAGCCTCGTGTTGCCGCCCACACTGCTAACTTCCTTCTCAACACTAGCGGTGGTACCACAGTGAGTGAATGTGTGACTTGATCTTTTGTTCATGTCTTAAGTCTTACTTTAAATGTGCTTGCATTAAAAACCTCTCAAGCATGCCATTAGATGATCCAGGGCTTTTAGTAAAGTAAAGTTTCCTATTGTTGAGTCTTTCTCCACTGCTTTTAGAGATCACATCTTAATGTGCTGCTTGTACCGGACTATACGTGTCACCATAAAAACTGACAATTTCTTACTACTGCTCTCTCTCCCTCTCCCAGACTCCTGCCTCCTCCAGATCGGCCTCTTTCTCTGAGGTCAAAACTGGAGCAGAAAACTCATCAGCTCAAAAGACTCGTGCTGGGCTTCCTCCAGGTTAGTGCAAATGGGATCACACTCCCACAAGCAGACAATAATCACAGTAACTGAGTAGATTTATGGTAGGTTGGTGCACCTCCTACAGGCCCATGATAGCAGGATTTCAAACAATCATCAACACAAAGATAATACAGGGAGACCATACGCCCTCTATGTCCTGGGTGGGATTTCTAAATTGCCTAAAATGTCTGGGTTTTGCCTTTGCTTTCCTAATGTTTTCAAAATTACTGACGGGAATAAATAGTCGTTTGACCAATAGTGTGCAGGCATTGTACATAATCGACCAATCATGGCATGAGAGAAGGTGGGATCTACAAAGAACAGTCAAAGCAATGCAACTACACATACATAAAATATATGAGGACTGTGCAGAGCACATCAATAGGAAAACAAAGCCAAAACCTGGACACTATAGGCAGTTTAGAAATCCTGGCCAGGGCATGTTGAGGAAACATGATTATATGGTCACACTAGATCAGGGGTGCCCAAACTCGGTCCTGGAGGGCCGGTGTCCTGCAGAGTTTAGCTCCAGCCCTAATCAAACACACCTGAACCAGCTAATCAAGCTCTTACTAGGCATACTAGAAACTTCCCTGCAGGTGTGTTGAGGCAAGTTGGAGCTAAACTCTGCAGGACACCGGCCCTCCAGGACT